TAGAGGGCCTCAGAAGCCACAATCTGCAGTCACTCCTTGTGCTGCTGCACCACTGATACAGGACTTCCTAAGTATAAGTACCCATCACATGGCCTCCTGTCTCTTGGTGACCTCACTGCAAAGTGCTAACATACGATCATTGAGCTGACCCCACTGCAGCTATTCAGCGCCCATTTGCATGGAAGCTGACAGGTTGACAGGTTACTGCCAGGTCGCATGCATCAAAAGAATAGCCCTGCAACATCTCCACCTAGGAGTTCCCAAGTCTTAACTGGTGATGCAATAGTTCAGCTTCCGCTAGCTTAGAGAGTAGCTGAATTGCAATCATCTTCTCGTCATCATCGAGCTGCAAGTTCAGGATTGCATCAAGACCTACATCACTGATGTCAGTGTCAAGGATGCAAGGAGTGGCTGGAACAGGCAAGGCCAGAAACTGGGTGTGGGTGATGCAAACATTGAGCTAATTGAAGAAGTCCTGGCAAGCCTTGGATTACTCAAAGTGTCAGGCTTTCTCTGTCAGGTCATGCAGGGGTCAGGCAATGTCTGGATATCCCTGGGTGAAGTGGCAACTGTATGAGGTCAGGCAGAGGACGTTGCAGACTTGCTAGACCATTTTCAACACTGGCCAGTCCTTTCTCCACATTTACCTTGATAGGTGCCCATTCCATCAGACTCCAACATCTGCTCCATTAACATTGTCTACTGTCTCATGAGATGACATGAGATGAGATGAGATGAGATGAGAGAGATGAGCCAGAAGTTCTTTACTAGGAGGAGGGTGCCACTCCTGGCATGAAGAAGGTGGTCGTTGAGGTAGACTATGCTTGGTCAAGGGGGTATGTCACATAGGAACTACATTATCAGTTTTTTAAATGTGACTGGGCTGTTGCTAAATTCAAATGGCTCCTGTTCAGTTGTGAAGGCTGCTTATCAGCAGGCAGTTTCAGATAACAGGTCCAGTGAGCTGAATCAGGCCAAGCTGGAAAGCTGGTCTAGAGTGTCACCAATAAGGAGTAGGGCTTACAAGTCCCTCCTGATGACTACACTAAGCGGCTGGTAGTCCATACAGACCCGAGAGCCTTAGCCTTCTTCCAGGGTAAGACTACAGGTGATGCCCAAGAGCTGCTTGAGAACTCGATGAGTTCAGCAGTGGCCAACTCCTTAATCTTGGCTACAGCTTCCGTCCGCAGTGCCAGTAGAAGTCGAAGTGCTGTCTGACAGACAGGAGGTGGATCTCCCATGCTATTCTCATGACTCAGCAAATGTGTAGCAATTGCCTGCCACCATTCACTTCAGGGGAGGATTGCTAGGCTGTCTCAGGCTAGCGGTAGATCTGGTATCCCTCAGCTCCTGTATGTGTCACAGTATTGGGAAGGTGCCCCTGGCGCTTTCATGTCATAGCGGCTACTGTTTCACATTCACTGGCCAGGTCTTTCTAAAACTGGCACTCTAGGCTAGCAGCTAGGAAGGGCCAGTGCAGTGAGCAACCATCAGGGATGTCCTAAAAAAAAAATAACCCTGCAGTGCTGCTCCTTTCATGACTGCTGCCAGCTGCACTGCATTTGTAGTGTGATCTCATCCAGCCAGAGTGGGCACACTTTCATACTGCCTGCACCAAGCCTTGCAACCGGTGCTGTCCAAGCATTGTACCTTGGGCAGACCTGTGGAGATGACCAGCAGGATGGTGGCTGGTGCAGACATCATTCTTGGGGCAGGCTGCTAAGTGCTTGGGGCACTACTGCTAAGTAATGATTCATAAGTAGTGCATAACTGCTCTACCAACCGCTGCAGGTCATTTAGCTAGCACACTAACTGACCACGAGACCCCAGGAGAGCTTACAAAATGAAATTAATTAAAACTAACATTTCTCACCAATTGCAAGGTCTGGAATCATCAGTTCATGGTTTTAAATGAACCGCCTCATTATTTTCACTTGTAAGAATTGTAATAAAACGCGCTTAATCTATTTAACAATGTACTCTAATGCATAGTTTTTAGTATTTCAACAAAGGCAAAATCCAATAGTTCTGTTAAATACATTAAGCTACTGAACACAGCAACTTGAGTGTGACATCTTGTAACAATACAATACACAGTAAAACATTCATTATAATGGATGCCACTTTACAATAAGGTTACCCTTATAAAGGGATTATGAATGGTTTATTAGCAGGTTATTAATTAGGTTGTAGCACTTTGTAAATCATTAATAGATAATTATAAACAAGTTATACCACAGTTTTCTTATTAATGAGTTACTACCATTTATAAGTGGCAAAGGGTAACCTTATTGTAAAGTGGTACCTTATAATGCATCCACCTCAACACGTGCTTATACTGTAGTGTAATGTATATACTTTTAAGTTACAGGCCAGGAAAGTACTTAGTAAACATTAATGAGACATAGTCAAGCTCCTAGAATTAACCAACTAGGGTTGAGCAAGATTTGCCTTTGTCTTAGCGCAAGATCCATTACCTCCAGGCTGGCACTTTTGTGTCCAGCTGTGTCTTTTAAGAATCATCTTAACTCTGCCTAAGTTCACTTATTGTGCTGATTAGCTAAATATGTAAGCATGAAAACCTGCGACGAGTCTGTTCCGAATCTCACTGTAATCAGAATGAAGTATTTACAGCCGCCACATTCCAAATGTTTTGCTTATGAACATTATTGTTTATGTAAGCTGCGCTGAAGGTTTGCTTGCAAATAGCTATGACCGCATGAGGGCAGTCATCTGCAACTAAACCATTACATGAAATGCGAGCACGGACTGGAACTGTAAATATAGCAATGATTGGTAGGGAATTATAGGAACAAACAGCAGATGATCAACCCCATCCTCAGGTCGGTTGGCTTCATCATGACTCTTGGAACAAATTGGATTAAAATATAAACATGCTGACAATCCTCTTTTGCAAGGCTTTCAAAACAACCAGTGCTTGTCCTTGAACAATGCTGCCACACTTCAACCCCATTCAGCCTCACTCTTGAGTCTACCAAGCTGTGACGATTAGACAGCCGGCCATAGCTTCCTAGATGAAGGTCTTATAAAGATGATTTCAGTGATTAATATTTCGAACCGGGGTGTCAAACTCCAGTCCTGGAAGGCCGGAGCCCTGTGTAGCTTAGTCCTTTCTCTGTTCTAGCACAAAGTATTCAGCTGTGTGATATTTAGCACAAAGAGCTGAATCAGGTGTGTTAAATGAGGGGAAACCTAAAAATGTGCAGGGCTCCGGCCCCCCAGGACAGGAATTTGACTCCACTGACTTAGAATCATGCACTGATGCCTGTTCAATCTGCTACGTTTCAGACTTTATGTCATAGTCTTAAGTAGCTCCTATCACATCAAAAACTTCATTCAAATTAACAAGAAGCATTAATAGGACCTACTGAACTGAGATATAGGTATAGTAGTTCCTCATCTTGGACCGTGTCCCTAAAAAGTTGTGTAACTGCTCATAGTTTTGCCAAGGATAACAGAGAGCACACCCTTACCTTACCGCCACCGAGCCATTCGTTTTGAGAGTGAACATTGTCAGCTTTGTAAAAGCTCAAAACGAAAACAAAAATAACGCTACAACTTCTACTCGGCCGTCAACAGAACTAGCAGAACCGGAGCAGCCAGTGACGACGGGGCCAAAAATCAGATATCAGCAACCACCAATGTGACTTACGTGGATGGGAATGCTATGCGCAGTTGACTAATCTACAAGGAAATGCTAAGAGATGTAACAATCTTGTCAAGTAAGCGAGCAAGGTAACTTGAAACAAAGCACCTGGAACGTAACACTAAAGACACTTCAATAGAGTGAAAACACAAAATCAGAACCTGGGCAGACTGTCTCTGTGATTGAACTGAACCGAGTCTTTTCAAAATACGCCCAAAATAATATAGCTTCAAGTGAAAGTTTTGGCTTGATTTCATCCAATTTATAATTAATGATGCCAAACTTAAAATACTGTTTCAAAACGTTTTTTTTTCTCATTACTTTTCGGCAGAGCATTTTGAAAAATTCTTCCATAGCTTGTATCAAAAATGGCAAAGTCATGTAACTACATTGTTGAATGCTCCATTGCATCATGTTGTTTGGAAACGATTTGGCTTGATATGGTGTAGAAAAAAATGTAGCACAACCTGATGATGTGGAATGAGGATATGACTCAGAAACACCCAATTAAAAGGTACTGGGCTGGCCTACATAAAAGCAGACCCACACGTCAATTCTATTTTCAAATGTTGCGCTGAGGGCACAGGAATTCCTGTGTCTACTTGCTTGAATCTAATATTTGTTAAGATGGTGGGCCATGATCACGTGTGCCACCCTGTACAAAATTGTATCTCAGATCCCTGCACTATGAATGGATGCTACCTGACACAACCTGCTTTGCCACACCTTCAATTTTTTTTTTTATTATATAACGCCTGTCTAAATCTGAACTCTTTGTGTAGCCTCCTGTTGTCTCTGGACCGGTGTAATTAATGTAGTCTTTTTTCTTTTAAATTCTGAGCCTGTCTGAACTAGAGTACCCTGTCAACTCCAGTTTGAATCTGAACACTCACCCTTGATTTTAGATTTGTAGAATAATCTGGGCTTGGCGTCAAGCCTCTTTGTCCTGTGTTGTCGCAACAGCATTTATAAGCGGCTAGAAATCGAAAGTTTTTTAATGCCATAGGCCTGTAAAATTTTTCCCGTGTGTCTCAAAGACAATGCGCCGTAATAATTATAGGGGGAAATAGCTTAGGTGAATACCTCTTTTAATGACCCGCCCCAAAGCACTATTTGGCCACAAGGTGTCACTGTAATTTCGAAGGATCGAATCTTTTTCACTAGTCACGGTGATTTAACGAAACTTGGTCTAGACCAGCAAACAAAAAACTAACAAACAGGAATAAGAATATATTCCAAGTGCAAAACCAACCCATCATTTCCTACATTCAAAACATAAATTATCATACCACTTCTGTTTCCGCCTAATCTGTTTTTTTTTTTACATGTGAGTGTTTGCCTGCGCTGCCCACGCACCAGTACTACTGACTCTGCACATGGGCAGACTCAAAATATGCATTTCAGATCACCTGTCGAACAAAAAAAAAAACAATCATTTAATGTGCATCTATTTAATGTGCAAAGGGAAACGATTTTATACTGAGAAATACATTTTTGGGTTCCACGGCACGGAAAAGTTTTGGTCTCATTTAAACGAGCTCTACAACGACTTAAGAAACGCCTACTACTCATTGATATAGTGGCTAAGTAAAACCTCACAAGAACGACCAAAAAGCGCTGTTAGGTTTGATTCTTTTTCTGCGATTGTTTTTATACATTTACACAGCATTAATCTGTGCACCAGGTTGCGGATGTAAGGCATTCTTGTGTAACTTTTAGTTAAAGTTTGGAGACACTGGCTGCTGATAAACAACAAATCAATAAAAAGTTGAATCATGGGGAGAAGACAAGCACGGCGGAAAGATGAAGATTTTAGTTTTGTTAGCCCTTTTGTCAAATATTTGCTCTTCATTTTTAACATGATATTTTGGGTAAGTTTTACCGCTCTCTTCATTTGTCATGTTTTGCTTTAAGGCGTGAACGTGTGTATGTTGCTTTGTTTTTCCTACGTCATCGTACAATTTTTGTAAACTTTATTGTCCTACGGACAAGCATGGAAAATGTCGGGAGTCGTTCTTCGTTATAGCTTCATGGTCCCGATTGCGTTGCTCGTTTAATAACATGGACAATAAGAGTAGTTGATTATTGCGCTAATAGACATTTTGACGAATGTTGCTTTTTTCCACGAGTATCCTAAGATTTTTCGTGGTTTGCTTTTTAGAGGACAATACACTTCTTATGATGAAATCCTGTAATATCTACAGAATGCCCGGAAATGTAGTGTAGAATAAAAATATTAACAATACAAGTTGGGTTTGCGTGAAGGATACCTTAATGTCTTCCTGCATTGTACTTTATATGCTAAAGAACTTTCACTAGTTTTTTTTTTTTTTTAACTGCAAGGTTGCCAAGCAACCAAAGCTTCATTTATTCATATGCTGATGGTGTAGCTGGGCTTTGTGCATTGTGGGTCCGGTGATTTCCTTTTTAGGATAGGGCCGGCTCCCATTGAAACCCTTTTTCAATAATTCAGACTGGCGCTCTTGCCAGGCTAGTTGTCGGTGTTGTCAAGTGTAAAATTCTTTTTTAAGGGTTAGTTGCACGTAGTCAGTTTGACGTTCCAGATTCCTTGAGTTTTAAAGAATAAACAGAATGTACAGCAAACGGTTTAAAATTTTAGCATGAAAATGCATGCATCCATTCATTTTCTTACTTGTCTCTCTTATGTGGGACTTGTGGATGGAAACACATTATTTCTGTAACATTCCAAGGCACAGCAGTGCACATCTGTGGCAGGAAAAAAGTCAGTGCCTCATTTTTATATCCTGTGTTCTCCCTGGGGACAGTCCTTTGTTTGAATTGCTGTGTGTAGATGAACCGGGCCAAAGTCAAAGAGGAATGCAATTTCTCTCTCTGGCAGTCATCTGCAGAGTTGGGAAATTCAGGTGCAGAGAGTAAAAGTCCAGACTGGGATTTTGTTTCAACCAACCAGTTGAACATAAAGAGTCACAGTCACAGACTATTCAACTGGTTGGTTGAAACAAAATCCCGGTCTGGACTTCTACTCTCTGTGCCTGAATTACCCAACTCTGGTCATCTGTGTTTTTGTTATTCATTACACTGCATAATTCATTACACCTTGCTCCGGGATTTAAGGCCCCAGATTGATCAGAGTGTTTTCCGACTTATATTTGTCTAATTATTGTACTTTATATATAACACCCCATACTCCACCATACTCCAAGCCAGTAAAGAATAACACCCCATACTCCACCATACTCCAAGCCAGTAAAGAGTGTGGTCCTCTGTCTTGGTTAAATAGCAACGACGTGAGGATTGATAATTATCCCATAATGCTGTTTATGCTTGGCACTTTGGCCAGGTCATCCTGGTCTCCGCTCATTCATTCAGGGCCCTGAAGGCTTTTTAAGGAGATTTCTCAAAGATCTGGATGGGGGGGGGGGGGAATCTGGTTACTGTTACACTTTTTTCTAGGTCTGCACTCAAATTGAAACACAGTGCTGTGTGGATGTTTAACCATAGTTTTCTGATTTGTGTTCTGTCTAATAGCTACTTTGAAGATACCTTTCTCCAACTTAGCCGGCTTTATAAAACAATAAATGTGTGCATTTTTGTCATATATTGAAGCAATTCCTTGTCTTCCATACTACATGGTACAATATGCAGACTGTTCTTTAACAAAAAACCCTTTTATATGTACTTGGTTGCTTTATTATCATGTGATTATGAATTTGCACCTACATATTAAGGGGGCATCCAAGAGTCACTGGGTTTTCTTGAATAACGCTCCCTTCCCATTGTACATGGCTACCAAAGGTTGTTTTACCTCCTTGATCATTGTAGTATCTAGCAGAGAACAGGTTTTTGTGAAATCTCTCCTCCCCTCTTTTTGTTTGGCTTAAAAGGGGGCTTCTGTTCATGGGTAATGGACACTGAGGGCCCCATTGAGTTCCTGTTGCACAACCTGCAGAATTTGTTTAGGCACTTGGGTAGAAGTTGATGCATTTTGGGACCAGCAGGTGGCACAGTCTTTAAGGGACTGATGCTCTATTCCTTTGGAATAAGGCACTCAAGGGTAGAGAGGATATATTTTTAAAGTCTGTAGGAGGAAGATAATTGGTCATTCAATAATTATCCTACAAAATCCAAGAAAATTGAGTCTTGTCCTTTTAATAAATTCTAAATAATTTTAAATAGGCAAATTCCATTACTGGAGAGGGTCGTCTTGGCATCATCCAAATCCATGAATTTTCATGCCAAAATATTCTGAGGAATTGCAGTCAGAGCTCTGTTGTTCTAGTGTCTAGTACAGTGTTTCCCAATCCGGTCCTTGGGGACCCCCGATGGTCCACATGTTTTACAAAAAAATGGACTGTATATGGCAGGAAGCTGGGAGAGAGAATAATGTGGACTGTCTGGGGATCCCCAAAGACCAGGGTGGGAAACAGTGGTCTGGTATGATATTTACACTAAAGAACAAACTTTCTCTTTTGAAGATCATCTCCATGGTGATGATGCTGATGGGTGTCTATGCCCGAGTAATGAAGCACGCAGGTGAGTCATTTGCTACCTGAATACACTGAGAAATGTTTTAGGTTGAGAAGGAGAGGAATTTAAAGCAGCTTGCTTTAGTCTTGTTTTGTTTCCTCTCACCTCGAACCTCTCCTGCGCTCTGTGCTGAGCCTCTCCGCATGTCCTTTCCATCATTCTGCACCCCACTGCAGAGGCTGCCATGGCCTGTCTGGCTGTGGACCCCGCCATCTTGGTGCTGGTTGTGGGCGCGCTGATGTTCCTCATCACCTTCTGCGGCTGCGTCGGATCCCTGCGCGAGAATGTTACCCTGCTGCATACGGTCAGCCACTAAGGGCATGGGGAGGATGCAGTAGGACAAATGATAGTCAGTTGCCTTGTGCTTTACTATTTACAGTTAATCCTTTGCATAGTAAGTCAGCTAAACAGTTATTTGTTTGAAAATCTCCTTTCTTTGCTGGGCCCCTTACATTTATAATACAAAAATAATGACTTTAAATTGCATCTTTTTACGCAGCTTGGTATTTTACATAGAATGAATGTCTGCATCCAGTGTACTGTTACATGGATAGTAGTTGCCATCTGCCTGTGTTTTGTATAAGCAATGTATGTCATGTAGGCTAAACTGCAGGACATGTTAGGTACACTGCAGGTGGTCGGTGTGAGCCGTCCTCCACATTAAGGTAAGGTAATTAAGCCGAAATATATTACCTCTTCTGTTGTTACACTCACCAGGAAGCGCAGTGGGTGAATGATGTATTCTCTCTTCTTTTTCCAGTTCTGCGTCTGCCTGACTGTTATCTTCCTGATGCAGCTGACTGCTGGAATCCTCGGCTTTGTCTTTTCGGACAAGGTGCATCTCGGAATGGCACTGCGGAGGGCGTGGAAGGGGCTTCTTAGACAGTGCTGGATGCTGAAGTTCCAGCAACATCACTGCTATTGGGACACTTGAAGGTTCCCATCCTAAACTGCCGCAGTGAAATGGTCAGGTGTAAATCCACATTTTAAATTCTGTGAGCTGGTTTGTGGATCGGCTAATGTGAGTGCACCCTAAGTGAAGGAGGACGTCTCTGTCTGGCTTGGGGGGGAAGGGGGGGTGGGGGTACCAGGGTGGAAAATGGCAGCAGCCGTTTCCTGGTGATCGTTAAAACACAGCTGGCTGGCCTCTCTTGGGAGGAACGCCGGATTATTTGGATGAACATTTGATACTGTCATTCTAATGCAAACCTAGCTGGCCTTATTTATTTCAACAGCATGTTACCTTGAGTGTGCATGGACCGTCTGATGAGGGGAAGGCTGAACATGTTTATGTATCACAGATATTCTCAGAACTAGCAGCTCTTGTCCTCTTTATATAAATCCAGCTTTAGGTGAACTCAAGGTCAAGTAGTGCAGCAGCTTCGGAACAGAATAGAAGAGCTCTGGGAGCTACACTGCGGTCAGCGCAGCTTTACTGGAGGGCCGATGCCTTTGGCTCCCTCTGCTGGCAGTGATATGCACTTACAAGAGCACTGCTCCCAGAAATGGCATTGAATGACTCACAACCTATTTTAATACATGAAGCTTTTGCTTCTTTTGTTGAAGACAACGTTGAGACTTTTGAGTGGGGGCACTTTTTGCCTAGTTCGTCTAAACTTTTGCTTTTGGAACTTAATGGAAATGAGTTGTTTTATGAACCCAGTTTTCTTAATAAGAACCAACAGGATTTTACTGTAGGGTGAATTCATAGTAATGCGTTTTTATTTATTTATTTTTTTCCACAAACATAATTGCCTTTTCCTGACTCCCACAGGCCCAAGGCAAAGTCAGCGAGTTCATCAATAATGCCATTGTTCACTATAGAGATGACCTGGATTTGCAAAACCTTATTGATTTTGGTCAGAAGGAGGTAATTTGTTGCTGGATTAATAATCATATATGAATGTGCATGTGATTCAACTCTACGTATCCTCTGGCCCTGTTTACACTTGGGTTTAAAAAGCATCTTGGGCGATCAGATCCGAAATAGACAACCGAGACGCATCACCGTTCACACCTGTGTCTGTCATGCATGTCCAACAGCATTTCATTACTGCCTAGGATACTTCTCCTAGAAGGTCAGAATGCCCTGCGCATTATCCCCATGGCAGGGAAGCATCAGGACACATTTAGCGTTTACACTGCAAAAGATATGTGGTCAAATGCATCCCAGACCAGCTCGGCAAGTGGTTTGAGTGATCGGATCACAATGCATCTTGATGGTCGTTTATATTTGTATTTCACGCTGTCTGCTTGCGTTCTGATTGCCCAACACCCAAACAAGGCCTCTGTCACCTTAGTTAAACAGCTATGTTCAAATGTAATATTTGCACATGTCATATGGTTGCAAGGCTGTCAGTGATGGGTGGATTAAGATCTTGAAACCCGTGTGGGATGAGATTGCATTGCTGGGTAATCAGGGCCCAGTTTGGCAAAAATGGGAACTTATGGAGTAACCAGTTGTTGGCAGTTGAGACTTTCTAGTCAGACATAACTAGTGATACATCTGTATATTTCAGTTTAATAGGGTTTACCTAAACACCAGCTATAACATGGGTCTCTCTTACCCCAGTTTAACTGCTGTGGTGGCGTCTCCTACAAGGACTGGTCCCTAAACATGTATTTCAACTGCACCCCGGAGAACCCCAGCCGCGAGCGCTGCTCCGTGCCCTTCTCCTGCTGCCTGTTGCCCAAAGATGAAGTACGAGCCTGTGCAGTCTCTCCCAATTGCTTCACAACTCTGTAATTCTGCTCTGCCTCTGCCAGTTCACCTTTCTGCCACTGTGTGGCAGTGCTAAGCAATGAAGGTCTGTTGTGTCCTGCCTACGTTCTTCAAGGCGATCGTAAACACCATGTGTGGACAGGGGATGCAAGACCTGGACCAGCAGCAGGCCAGTGTCTTCATCAACACCAAGGGCTGCATTGACAGCCTGGTCACCTGGATCCATGACAACTTGTTCCTGTTGGGTGGTATTGCAATGGGCCTTGCTATCCCCCAGGTAAGAACACATAGAAGGTTACACTACAGTATTCCCTCCAGGTGTCAAACTTGTGGAAACGGCGCCATCAAGAGGACACACTGGGGTATTACTGGATCTTTGGCATGAAATGAGGACTTTTAGGGTTTTGTGAATAATAATGTTCAAAGACATGTGCAGTTCTATCAGTTATTCTTTCTAGCAAGGCAGGTATTTGCAAAGTTCTGTAGAAGTGCATTTGGTTGTTTTGAACATGCAATCATCTGGTTACAAGTCTAGGTTTTGTGGCAGCAAACACCCCCACTGCATTCCCACCCCATGCTTCCTGACGCCGACTATTTCCTGTGCTCCCCATTTGCAGCTAGTGGGCATCCTCCTGTCCCAAGTCCTGATCAACCAGATTACAGACCAGGTGGAGCTGCAGCAGTACAACCTCCAGCACCGCTCTGATCCGTGGCAGTGAGACTGCGCCATGAGGAGGACGCATGACCCTGGACTGAGGTCCTCTGAAGAACATGTACCTGAGGGATTATCCCTTTGGGTATGAGGACCAAGCCTTGAGTTATTGAATCTTAGGAGACGTGAAGGCATTGCTTTACTTGGAAAAGAAGAGTTTGTTGTTCTGCTTATGCTTTTGCACATGCCGAATATCTGCTTGGAACTAGATATTTATCGGTATTTTATATCTGGCTCAAGACCATTGAGGCAGTGATGTGGACAGAGACATAAAGGAAGGCTGGAGTTTCCCCCTTAGGATGATTTTCCTGCATTTCTTCCAACACCCATGGAAGTCCATGTCCTGCCAGGAATACTACATTCGTTGGAAAACTCCATGATTCAACATAGGGAAAAGATTACTGTAAGATACAGTACTGTGCAAAAGGGTTAGGCAGCCAAGGAGAATTATGTTTAATCGATATTCATGTTGGTGTTAAACTATGCTATTATGCCTGACAAAGTGTGTTAGCTTAGCCATTTGAAAACCTCTCCTAAAGTCACCCCGGTATTTGCAGCAACTATCTAATGCGCTCATGTATTTTTTAACTTGGCCACTAGAACACCTCATATAAATAATCAATATCACATTGATATATCTCATTGACTGAGCTGGTGGTGAAATTTAATAAATACTTGGAATGGCTGAGGTGCCCCTGAGGAGAGGTTTGGGAACTAAAGTTGTGTTCATCTAGCCATCCAGCAAGATATCTGTGACTTTGTGTAGAAAAGAAGAAATTATTACTATTTTTTATTGTGTTACTCTTAATTTGCATATGTTCTACTGTCAAATTGTGTTTTTGTTCTGTGCATAAGTGCCCTTACTGCCCAAATAAATAGCTTTAAACATTTCTTTGGACTGCCGAAGACTTTTGCACAGTACTATACACTACCGTAAGAGTTAAGATCAGTGTCTTGATTTTTATAACTTTGTTTTTTCACACTTGTATTCATACAGTAGGTCATGAGTATTCAGGTTTATAAACGTAGTTTTGGGCACAATTACAGAGCCATTTACTGAAACAGAACATTTAATGGTGATTGTGTTTATTTTAAAAAGTTGTTTATTTTAGTGTTAGTTTTGCTGATGTTCAGTCTTTATGAATACACATCTTATCTTAATAAATTTTGATTTTGTAGCATATGAGAGTTTGCATGGTCCAAAACGGCACATGTGAGTTGAACCGCTGCTGTTTTGCGGTTGCAGTGCTGATCTCGGTGCAAAAAAATGCACTAATAAAGGATTTCCTCTGGGAGGAACAACCGAAAGGCGTGATTTATAATAAACACATCTTAACTTCTGGGATACATTGCGTAAATCCAGTGTGTTTACACTGGCAAGCTCTTCCCACAGTGTTTACTCTCGTCCTCATGGTCTCATGCGCATGACCAGGCCGAGCTGTCATTCGCAGTTACAGGACTCTTTAAATCACAGCAACTCCAGTCAAGGTTGCAGGAAACAGCATACATCTGAAAACACATTTAAACAATGGTACGTGTTATTGATTCTTCAGATGGAATTACCAGGCCTGTAGGAAGGAACCATTAGGTAAATTTGATAGAGGGTTTTTAGAGGTGTTGGGTCAGCATGTACTAAAGGTAGTGTAGAGTTTTGTGTTGTATATACTATATTAAACAATTTAACAGTATGTTGCAATTAATCAATTTTGATTGGCTGTCTGAGGCCCAATGACCTTCGGGCTACAATCCACCATCTTAGACGTGAACGCACATGCTAGACTGTGGTGAACCACACTGCAAGTCTTGTCAGCAAACCGTCCTCCTGGCTCTTGGTTTTCTGTAAACACAGTAAGTCTTTGAAGGTGCATCGGCGGTGCTGTGTACGTCTCTAATGTGTCTCTATCCGTCCCACCGTCTTCCGAACCAGTTGTACGGGCTTCCAGCGCAAAAGGCAGTTCATGCAGACTTGCCATGTTATTACTTTTAGATTCTTGTGCCAATCAAGTAAACCAATTAGCGTAATGGAGTATGTGCCATTGAGCCCCATACACCCCATGCAGGGCGTATTAATGCTTAAGCTACCCTAGGCTACAGCCTACGGCAGCAGCAAATATCAGGGGACCCACCCTGCCTCGGGAAAAACGGTTACAGGTACGGTTAAACGTATTAAATCCTGCTTTCGGATCGACCTGCTGGCGCCCAGCCTACTAGGCAGGTCTCACTGCAGGCGCCCCATTTGCTGATCAGCAGGTTACTGATGTTGCATACTTTATATTCTCTCTTCATTCTGTTTTCTCCATGCTGACGTCAGCCTAGGGCCACAGGTATGTTTATACATCCTGGACCACATGCATCATCACAACAAGAGTGCAAGTCAATCCATATCAGTGCCTGAGTGAAATGGAAAAATGGAAAATGTATATTTGCACTGCGCCTTAATCATTCCCACCCTGGAATCCATCCATGCACTTCCATAGCTGCTTGGCCTACGCAGGATCAAGGGGGGGGGGGGGTCTGTAGCCAGTCCCTGAAGCAAACAGGCGCAAAGCAGGGAATAATCCAGAACGGGGCGCCATGTTACTTGGTAATCACAGACCGAAATTTAAACGTAACTTGTGGAGAGATTAGAGACATATATTTTCCACCCAAAATGTCTGAGGAGTCATTAAAGTTCTCAGGTTAAGGCATATTTTTGGCACAAAATCTGATTTTACATTTTCCAACAGAAACTGCTTTGTTATAACTGTTTTTTGCTTTTTGCATACCGTGGTTTTCTTAGTATATTGCGCAGAGACTTTGTCCAAAACACATAAGAGGAGTCTATTGTATTATAAAAAATACTAGATAATGTGACTAATAATATGTCACATTATATATTTCTGAATGACTACTATTTGTTTATTCCAACATGAATATTCGTAAAACGTTTTGTACAGCAATGTTCGAGTCGGGATCTCGCTGTAGTTGATTATCCACAGAGAAAGAGAGAGAGAAAATGAAAGGTACGGGAAAAGTTTAGCGATGCCCAGCCGCTGTAACGTGGGGCTCGCGGGCTGTGTGTGGTCTCCTGTCAGTCCTCCTCTGACTCACTACCCAGCAGTCATGCTACACAACCGTTTAAGGTAGTCCGCAAAAATTACTTGGGGTGTTAAGGTAGTCCGCGTAAGTGACACACAACCAAACTTGCCTGGAGCACGCGCAATGCACAGAGAGACTCATTGTGTCCCATTGATGATACAGGACTGTTATAGGCCACTCACTTTTCGAAATACCTGCTCACATCTAAACGGGTTCACTCCCATTTAAATTGTATAGTTAAGTAACAGCATCAGACACATATAGGACTGCAATCAGTAAGTGAAAATGAATACTGAAATTTCTCAGCAGTAGCAACAGAGACGCGAGGTGCCTCCGAAGGTATCGGGGTTCACCGTAATAACAAGCTCTGTGACATTAACAAAATATTTTTCCGTTTTATATGTAGCTTGCTTGTGTTTATGGCCTGAGAAATGAATTTGAAAGTGCTCTTGCTGAGTTTCATTAAGTAAAAGGTCGCATTTCCACGGTGAACCATATAGACTACTTGTGACGGTTTCTCGAAGCATAATTTCGCACCTTAGTTGGGGCCAGCACAGAATCCACCTTAAATGCGAAGGGCGGAAAAAGATTTTCATTATGTGGGTCCCCAAGGAGGCAGATTGCATGATGATTTGATAAAAAGCAAATATTTTTCATTTTTCGACGAAAAATATCACGAAAAATATCACCAATCCATCCACCATCAAACCATGCAATCCCAGAAAAAGGAACACTTACCCCACATCTAATATAGTAAATTCATTTAAACCGGAGAAATTATTGGAACAGTTTTCACAAACCATGCATAATGTGTTTATGTTTACAGTGGAGCCGAATGAGCCTCTGTCAATGTTAGGAGCGTCAAACCCACGACAGGCTCCTTGTATTCCAGCGCATGCTGCCGATCAGTTCTCTTCATTTATATATATTATCTTGTGACTATGAAGACAGTGGATATCCCAGTTTTGTTTGTTTGTTTGTTTGTTTGTTTGTTTGTTTGTTTGTTTTGGATTTCCTGCCTTGCGCCCGTCGCCTCCGGGATAGGCTCCGGACCCCCGCGACCCTGAATGGGATAAGCGGTTACAGAAAATGGATGGATGGATGAATGTGTAGCCTATTTTGCGGTTGTTCAGTTAACATCAGAACACTATAGTAGCTTGTTCTGTATGGCAACAGGCTGTTATGTATTTTGACAACAAATAGCTAAGTGAAGAATAAAACGTATTCATATACATCTTTAAATATTAAAAATGACAAGCGACCACGCCGACTGCTTCACACCTTATTACGTTCATAATAAAAGCATTCATTAAAAGACAAGGCAGCATTTAAAATCTTTGAAATTTCTACCAACAAGAGATAAATATGATAAATTTTGTGGTAAACATAAATAATTTATAATTTCAAGACACAAAAGTTTTTGAATTTGCCCACGGACCACCTGTTATTGAACATTATTATCTGTCGATAATGATAATAATAATAATAGGTAATTTCTTAGTAGACAAACTATTTGTTCTATAAATTTACAAACATATTGTGAAAAAAATTGTGTGTGAAAATGGCGAATAGAATAGGCATGTATAGAAGCGTAGGACCCCACTTTCTCAGCTAATTCAGAATTAAATCCACATACTCCTAAGTCAGAAACTGTGGATAAATGTCTGCCTTTGGTTGTGCTGCTCTGTGTACCGGTTTTGATGTTTCTATACTGCACATTCCAGCCATAAGAAGGGGGATGGGGGCGACTTTTTTAACTTTGGCTCTCCCAACTACGTGCATTCCAGGGAAAGGAAGATAAAAACAGCAGACACGGTCGCAAGGGGAAGACAAAGACCCGGGATTCGGTGCTCTGCAAGGCTAAAATGATGCGAGTCCGAAAAATGTGTTTTTCTGTAGAATAAATTGCGCGTCTGGCATTTTGCAACCAAATGTGAAAAGGGTGATCGCAACAGGGGGACGGAGCTACAAGTCTTCGGATCGTATTACAACCTTTCAGAGTTTTCATGTGAAGTTTTTTCCTCCCAAAAAGTGGGGGATGGTGAATGTTTCGCTCACTCACAACGTTTAAAACAGTTCAAGAAGAGGAGCATCGTGGGCATTTTCATTCCGTTTTTCTTTTTTATATTAACTGAGCATAAATGAATAAACTGTTAAAACTATCAAAGGGATAACGGAAAATGCAGGAGTTGGGACGTGCACGAAGCTGTACAAGTCGTCGGTCTGACTAAAAGAAAATGTAATATTCTTTACGGGGTGATCCGCTGGAACGAGCAACTTTCTCATTTGCGCTAACGAATCAACACAGATTTGCAGAAATCGCAAAGTTTTGAATATCGCGGATACGAAGTTGCCTCGCTGGAGTCCCAAGATGTCTTCCCGGAGCTGCTCCTTTGTTGGAACATTTGGGATGATGTGGGTATTGGCTGCCTGCGTTTTGGTCACTCATTCGGTAATAGCCCAGAAAAACGAAACCATTTTCATCGATCACTGCAAGAAAACCTCAACCTGCGAAGTGCTCAAATACAACACATGTCTCGGATCTCCGCTGCCCTACACGCACACGTCTCTGATCCTCGCCGAGGACTCGAGCTCCCAAGAAGAAGTTCTGGAGAAGTTAGCCATGTGGTCCGGTAAGACCTGCTGTCTAAAATAGCCTCGTCCCATCAGCACTGTCTGCTGCAAATGGGGGTCATAAATGGTCAATTATGATCAGCTCCGACATATCTGTTGTAATTTCGAAGTAATTCAAGTGCTAAGGTAAAATGTTGGAGCATCATTGTGACAGCATTCAGGCAGCTAGTTAGCTGTGTGTTTTTGATACTGCACTATAACAAATCTTAATGTGTTTTCGGACCTGCTCTGGACAGATCTTTAACAATATAACATATCTCCTTGTAACATCTTTTATATTAAGATTTGCACCTGAGGATAAAATGTTTTAGCATCTGTGTTCACCGTTCATTGGCGATCAAATCGTTGTGCCTTAACAATTATGTTGTTCATTAAATGGAGATGCCTTCTTACAGTGGCCCCCAGATTAATAAATGTAATAATACCTCTAAAAGCGTTTATTTTAAGTACCGTACTCAAGGCCACAACA